CTTTAATATGATTGAAGATTAAATATTAATAACAATAAATTAATTATGGTGGTTTGGAGTTGTTAACCAATCCACATAATTAATCTTATTTTTATTAATACAATATTGGGTAGTAATAGTCTTCTTCAAGTTTTAATATTTTATGAAAATATTCTTGAAGACTTTTTATATTTTATGAAAATATTCTACCTAATATTATTATTTTATACTAAAATGTTTAGTATAAATATGAACATATTTGATGTTAAATTTTGCTAAGTTTTTGGCTAAATTCTTCTAAGAGAAAAATCATTCAAAGAGTTGAGTGATAAAACAAGAAAGAGTTCTTGTAAAATTTCCTTATAAATATATATTCTATACTTCTTGAAAAAGCGAGTAGTTTCTACTAGCGAAGAAACTATAGTCGGAACCAATGTTCAAAAGGTGGATACGATTAGAGGGAAGACATTTTGATTCCTAAAGTGAGTAACCACAAGAAGTGATCGTTACCAAACCGGGAATTGATTTTCTCATACATCGTCAGTTTTGAAGGAGTTCAAGAACAAAGATAATTTTTATAAATTACATATCAAATCAAAATTAGTAAAAGTTACTAGATTTTAAATGATGCTTATTCGTTATCTCGTTATACTTATGTACGGAATAAGTATTTATAAGATACATACTTATAAAATTTTAAATTCCGTTGTAAACTCTGTTCCGTACAGTATATCGAACCCAACAGACTCCACCACCCAATTTTCATTTTCTTGTAAGGGACAAAAAAAGGAATAATTTTAAAGCCGTTTGTAAAAGTTTGGGTTTAGGAGATAGGTGACCAGTAGTTGATCCTCAAGGAAAAAGTGGGGTTCTTCTTTTGGGGTGGGATCACTCTATGCAGATTATTAATTTTGTTAAATACTCTTTATGTATTGAAGTTCACTATTGGGATTTTGTGAAGTAAGTAAGCTTTTGGGGGATTTTGTGTATCTTACACTAATGGTTCTCATAGAAATGTCCAATGGGATTATCCGTGTTCTACAAAAAAAACAATTCAGGGGGAGGAGGAGAGGATAACTGCTTTGTGGGGAAGGGGGGGGAGGGGAGAGGGGGAGATTGGAATGGCCTGATTGATAATTCAGATAAATAAGGGGGTATAAAAAGAACTGAAAGCTCTTCTCAGAGATTTTGAGATTTTATTGCAAAGATGCGGCTGATGGAGCTAGAAATGAAAGGCCACAAACATATATGGGGCAACAGAAGAATAGGGGAGGGTTTGTCCAAGAACAGTCGGATAAAGTTTTTAGCACTCTAAGCTAGCATCATCATTTTCCTTTATTTGAGGTGGCAAACATTCAAAGAAGCTCCCCTAACCATAGACTTATGTTGCTCACTTTTAACCCCTCAGTTAAAAATGAAAAGAAGGTTCTACTTTGACAGGAGATTGCTCTCCAAATAAGGAATCAAAGAAGTGATCACCTCAACTTGAGACAGGCTTCAAATTGGAAATCCCATTTGTAGCTTTCAATCCAAAATAAAAGAAGAAAGAGTGGAATTACGTAAGTGGAATAGTAATTTCAAAACATAAAATGCAACAAAGATTGAGGGACTGAATAAGAGGTTAGCTGAGTTGAACAATCAAGGAAGTGATAGGAACTGGAACTCCGAGATCAACTGAAGGATCAGCTGGATGAAGAAAATGTAAAAAAAGAGCTCTATTGGAAGCAAAAGGCAAGAGTCAAATGGGTCAAGCATGGTGATAAAAACACCAGCTTCTTCCATGCTAGCACCAAAAAGGGATGGAAGAAAAACACCATTTCAAGGTTGTTGAAAGAAAATCAAAGTGTTTGTGAAACAAAAGAGGAGATAATAGACTGCATTGAAGAATTCTATTCAAATCTCTTCACCTCTCAAGACCACAACTTAGAACTCATAGCTACAGTGGATGAGGAAGAAATCAAAGAAGCAATCTTCAGTATTGATCCCAATAAAACCCCTATTTAGATAGTATGACCTCTTCTTTCTTTCAATCCTTTTGGTCTATTGTTAAAAATGTTTTTTGTGCCCTGGTCAAAAGCTTTTTGCCTGTGGTCAAATGCTGAAAAGTATTAACTATTCTCTGATCTCCTTAATCCCTAAATGTGAAAAACCTGATCTGATTTCTCTATAGACCCATTAGTCTTTGTAGTGTGACCTACAAGGTTATAACTAAAATTTCGCTAAGAGATTGTAAAATTTCCTTCCCCTTTGGTATTAGTGAAAACTATTCTTTCTTTGTTTCAATTGCAAGGAAAGTAAGAAGGAGGAGTCGGGCTTTGAATATTAAGAGTCAACTGAAGCACTTCACTGGAAATGCTACTCAAATTGAATTCTAGTTAACTATAATCTCCTTAAAAATGAGTCCAAATTAGCCGTATATGTAAAGCTTGTGGAGGGGCACCTGAATCATTAGAGCATATGTTCTTCCAGTGTGCTAGAGTAAAGTTGGTCTGGGCTTCAACACCTCTATCTTGGGATGGCTTGGAGCAGAAAACTGAAAGCTTCAAAGGATTGTGGAACAAACTATGCTCAATGAAACAGTTCTCTAACTCTGATTCTAGAATTCAATTTACATCTTCTATTCTTTGGTGGATCTGAAAATCTAGATACCAATGGGTGTTTCCAAATATCTTAAGGTCAGTAAAGGATGTGGTGGATATTGCTCTAAAAGAGTGGTTAGAATTTGGTGACTACCGTGTTAGGTAGCTACTTTGAACAACTAGGTTCTTTTAGTGTCGAGTGGCTATTCTATTTAGCTTATTTGCTAATGTTTGGTGGGTTTAGATCAAATGGGGTGGTTGTTCTAGTGTTTTGGAGGTTGTTGTGTTAAGTTTGTCTGGTCTTGTGCTAGTTTGTGTCTTGGTGGGAACTGCAGAGTTTTCTTGGGCTACATTTTGTGTTGCTGAGGTTGGTTGTGTTTACTTGGGGAACTGTTAAGGAGTTTGGGATTGGGCTAAGGCGGATTGGGGGTGAGCACTGAGGGTTGCAAGTGGAGTTGTTGTTGTCGCTGTATTTTCTTTTTTTGGGTTTGTTTTGAGTTGAAATTAAGTGTTGTAGATTGTGGGTTTTTGAGGTGTAATATGTGTTGCTTTCTATTTCTCTTCACTAGGTTTGTTGTGTTTGTTAGTTTAGTTTAGGGCACCTGCGAGTGCTCCTCTTTGTAGACGTTTTGGTCTTTTTCTGGCTATTTAGCTTTCGAACTTTGTGTACATTTGTTTACTTATAAAATCTATCGTTTTGTTAAAAAAAATCTCACCATTCACAGTACGATCAACATACGATGTGAAGTTCATTTACTAAGTGTTCAAAATGAACTAATCGATGCAGTCCTATTTAATACAATCAAAATATACTTGCATAATGTATTAGTCAATATTAACTAGTTCTAAAGTAATTAGACAACCATTGACAATAGTTTTTCACTTTTTATTTTAGTTGTGAATAATATGTATATTTTACAAGAAACTACAAAATATGTGCAACATGATGCATCGTATTTACATACAATGTAAAATAATTCAACATGCCGCATTACTATTCAACATGACGTAAAATAGATTGTTTATGAGGAAAAAGAGTTCACATAATTTAATGCATTATAGTAAGGGGAGATGCTACGGGTTCCGTTACAGAATCATTCTATCGGGGTTCGTAATCATTAGATCAACTATTTCTGTCGGTCACATGATTATTTAACGGTTACAAATCTCGACAGAATGGTTGCGTAACGGGACCGTAGTATTTCCCTAAAGTAAGAGTGTAGTGGTATATCCATATAATCGAATATTTTTTTAATACCATTTAAAGTAAAAACAAGTACATCAAGAATACAAATGCATTTCCTTCATTGTACCGTTGTACTTGAATAAATAAATGGTCTAAATTGCATATAATTAGGACCAAAAGATTTACAAAAAGGTATCTGGCAGTCAAGCCAAAAAACTATAATTTATTCGTTTTTATTTCAACTCAAAATCTAACTGAACTTTAACTCAACTCCACCATCTTTAATATTATTCATATAATTAAATAATACAAACCAATCATTCTTACACATCACATCAACTTCAATTCACTATTCATCCACTCACATAATTTTAACTACCTATCATTTTCAATCATTTTCAATCATTTATCTCTTACTTTACATCAAATCAATTTTAATTATTTTAATTTAAATATTATTGTAGAGTCAAACACATAAAACTTGAGAATCTTTTATCCTCATCAACCCTTTTCAAGTGATTCCTCCATGTTCGCTCAAGCAATCAATGCTACACCCTTATTTACTTATTCTTGGGAATTTTCAATAATGGTGCTCTGAAAATGCAAAAAATGAAAATGTCTGTCATTTATGCAAGGAAAATCCATAATCCCTCAACAATATCTCAGTCCTCTCTCGCATTAAATGAGTTCTCATTTGGAAAAACATCATAACTTATGTATATATATGGCATAATCCACACTCTTTTATTTCAATATTATTATTATTATTTTTTTTTTTCATACAACCATGAAATCCCTTCCAATTTCCCTACATTGTGTTGCTCTTGCCTTCCTTATAATGTTCATGGCCACAGTCCAGACAACTGAAGCAACCGGTTTTACCATCGATCTTATACGCAGAGACTCTTTACAATCTCCCTCCCTATACACTTCCTCAGAACGCGTCAAGAATGCGATCCAAAGATCTTTCGACCATGCCAACAACCTCGCCCGACCCAGTTTGCCCTCGGCCGACATCATCCCC